CCTCTCTCCACCAATCGCGAGGCCTGGAAGCGCGCAGACCTTCAACCTTGTTTTGGGAATAGACCTTCCGACAGCGCTTACGTTCTCGATTCACTTTATTTCTTAAGATCTTAAATAGGTACTGGTTCCCGGATGCAAATGCCTTCTGACGACGGGCAATTAGTTGTTTGAGTCGTACAGACAACCAAGGCCTGTCAGTTTCGTGTACCTTTGTAGAACGCTCGGGCGTGATCGTGTTCAGCCCAAGGTTAATAATGTCAGTGAGAGTTCTAAGTTCTAAGCTGTGGTGGTCATTTAACCTAACCTGACATTTAACCTTTAAGCTAACCCGTTCCGAGTAAGGAAACATTCGCAAGAATGCAAGTAAATGCACATAACATGAAGAAAGCTGCCTTTTTCTCTCTCCCTTGTCTATGTGGTCTTTGGATCCCCTTCCCTCCTCTTCACCTCAAAAACTTCCGGTGGAAGACAGGAAGCGATTATAGTCCCCTTAACCAGGTTCCACCGCTGCAAGTAATTTTCAATTATTCTCATGTGAAGAAGGGTCACATAAGTGAATTTAGCGCCTCTCTTGTCAAGTAATTGTGGGCTAGATAAGCAAACGCACCGAAAAATTGGACGATCGAACACATATACAATTGGAGTCACGTGTTTCCGGTATGAAATCTGTTATAGCGCGGGCTCAGTTACACATAGGATTTGAATGCCAAACAGATTTTTTATTTGCAGTGATATTGTGGATGTGTTATCGACTTCGTGCACTTTTCTTTGGTCCAACATTGATTTTATTTGAAAAAAAATATCGTATTTAATGTGAGGTTAGTTAATGAACATTTTCAACTCCAAACGAAGTACAATGCAACACAGAAGGACGGAAGGGTGTTTGTCGTCTTGGTAGCTAGGAGGCCATAACAAAGCCCGACCCATTGCTAGCTGATGGTAAGCAATGTCTCTTGAACACTTATCGACTGTCCTCTATTGATTTAACGAACCCGCAACATGATTCAATGAATAAGTATTTTTCTATCTTTCTGCCCTGCTTTCCTCACCAGTTTGGTAGTCCCATAAGATCTATCAGCGCACTAGTGTTTTCTGTGTTTTGGTAATGATATTACATTTCAAAAACATGACTTTAGATGCTTTGATCTTATGGCCTAAATCTTTTCAGCCGCCTTTTGTTGTTGGGTTAAGGGGTTTTTTAAAAGATAACGTACTCGATGTACAGTCTATTTAAGAAATCCCTGTTCCTTTAATGTTCTTTAAATGTTTGGCTTTTTCCGAAGCCAAGGTACGAGTGATCGATATAACCTGATCAAGTTTGGTACGTCAGAGATGTAAACTGTTCTTTTTATTTTGTCACCAACACAAATATTACAACACAAAATCTATCTTGCTTCACTTTTTGTTAGTATTAAAATCCCAGTCTATAACGTTTTCCTCAAAAAGGAAGCTGTGTAAAGGGAAATTCCAGCGCTACAAGACATTTCACCGCTGTTAAGAGAATACTTTGTCACTATCTAATGTGAGCTCTCTTACATAGGAAATGTGGCCAAAACTTAACACGTTGTCTGGTTCTCATACCAGTTAAAATATATAGAATTTATTAATTTAATTATTTTTTCACAAAAGTTTCCTTAGATTGAGAAGTAACGCTAACTGTGGAAAATATGATACTTTTAGCTATGAAAAAACTCCACTTACATTAAATGACTCGCACAAAAAGACGGTTTCCAAACTTTTTTTTTATCTTCATCTTTGTGCATGATTTATATACTGCACCTCATCTATCACCTCTTTCTGTGTGAGCAGTTAAATTTTAATCCCTTTTTAGTTTTTTTTTTTATGTAAAAAAAATAAAATCTATGTTAGCGTGTAGAGTGGTATGTTGTTTGCACTAATCAGATTTCTGCATTTGGGTATGTATCTTGCACTTATCAGATTGCCACACCAGGGTATGTATCTGGCACCAATCATATTGTAGCATTTGGATATCCTGCACCAAGTAAAGCCTTTAGGATATGTTTCTCATATCAATTATATCACAGCTTTCTTGCCAATGTTGTCATGGAATCAGGGGGCTGTGCACAAAGAAAGACATAAACCATAAATAATTATTTTGGCCTAATTTTGATAAATGTAATGGTTTGTGACCTTTGCAAGAGCCTTATGGATTAAGGTCAAGATTTATAAGGATATAAAAGGTTCACATCATTTTTATCATCTTATAATAAGTTAAAACATGTTTTTGTGCTCCTTTACTCACAACTTACTTGCTAAAAAACTTACATTCCATCAAGTGCAGTAAAAACCTGTATAAAAGAGCACGTTTTGGGGGTTCAGGTTGATTTTGTTCTTATATACCAGGTTTTTTCTGCAAAATCAGCATGAAAATGTTCTTAAGGTGTTCTTAAAATTGTTTCTAAAAATTAAATACTGCATTGACTACCAACAGATGAAATCATTGAGCAAGCACAACATTTAAATTAATTAATCAATGGAACTAGCCTTAACAGCAGTAATCAAGGCACTAATATTACATAAGAGAAGGGGTTGTAGTTCTGGTGATAAACAACTTAAAACTCAGGAAAAGTCAAGCAAACTCAAAATGTGCCAGCTCCCCCTCCCCCTCGGTATTATGCCAATGTTTTACATTAATTACCATACACCTATCCTGAAGTGTTGCAAATTCAAACTTTTGACCAGTTAGTGAAAGCATTTTCTCACTCTTTTGATGTTCTTGATGTTTTTGTTTCTCCAGAATGACTTCTCAAATAACTTTTAACTGATTTTTTTCCTAATTTTCCAGGGAAGCTAATTTTCATACCATAGCTGGAAAACTTTAATGGCAGGCTGATTCAATAAAAGCATTTGGTGGAAGTTTGAAATTGAAGACCTTAATTACCCCTGCCATGGAATTATCTTTTTGCAAGCAAAATTATTTTAGGGTGAGTGTCTTTGTGTAATGATATAATAATTGTTTACCAGATTAAAGCAGGTTTCTTTTGTACAGAATATTTTTCAGGGAATGTACAAAGTATAAGTCTTTGATTTACCTTTAAATCTTTCACAATTGCTCTGAAGTGTTTGTAATATGTAGCTCTCTATAAGTTGTTAAATCAGTAATGCCCACCCAGTAGTTATTGTTAAATTTTCAATTTGGATTCTACAAACACTATAACTTTAAAAACTGACATTATTCTTTCCCTTTTTTTACCTTTGATTATTGTTGTACAATACTTGTCTTTTTGTACTCAAGAGCTGATTTATGTTTTTTCCTGTAATTTTGCAATTATGCTTTTTCACAGGCAAGAAGTTTTGTAAATCTCTTTGGAGGCAGATAGTTTTTTCTCTTCCCTGTGGCATTATGGGAGCAGGTGATCTAGCTTTTCTTTTAGTCATAATAAAATCATTTTGAAGGGGTAGTTATTTAATTATTGATTATATTATTTTTTGAGGTGGCGAAACCTGCCTCAGTCCTTCTTTAAAAGTGGTTCTTGAAGTTTTGGCGTTAGGGATATATTGATTAAAAAAATTTTGTGTAGAAGTGGTGTTTAAAGTTGCTTATAGATATAAGACCAAATGATTATAAAGATTCATCCAAAATAAATAAATAGCATTACTTGCTTCTATGAATCATCATATGGGATAAAATGACATTAGTTAAATCTTATTGTTAAAGGTGTTAAGGTGATCTGCCAATAAGGAGCTTATTTTCACAAAGTAGTGGTTAGTGTCCTGATTCCAATTTGTACAATGATTTAGTGGTTTGACATACTTTGTACAACTTTATCTTTGTGGCCCTGAAAATTTAATTTTGGTTGAAAAAATGAGTGTAGCAATAGTTCTGTAAGAATAAGAAATTACTACACAAAAAAAATCTTCTCTGAAATGGGTAAGTTAAAGATGGAGTGAAGTTGTATATTAAGTAAAACTAATTGGTTATGTTAATGATTTAAATTTACTTCTAAGGTTTAGATAAAAGAAGAACAGACATTTAATATATTTTTTTTTAAATAAAAAGTTCCCCTTGGTTTGGACCATTTTATTGAGTGACTTGATTTTTCTTTTCTAACAGCATGTACTAGCCAACCATCGAAGGTTAATGTAACAGGAGAAGGCAAACTATCTCCTAACAACAGGTAAGTGGTGATTGTAGGCTACAGTGAGAGTATTATATTAGATTAATGTTAGGTAACGCTGTGTCCATTCCTTGCCTAGAGATGCTAAGTTTCTTCATTTACTCAAGGCTAGTTTTCTATGCTATTGGAATTTTTCAGTTGCCAAAGTCTAACCTTTTTTAATTGCCACAAAGGAAATGATCTTGAGACAGACTATAATCAACTTCATGGTAACTGTTTTTATGCTAACAAAATCATCAATAAAGCTTGCTAATTTGTTTGTATTGTGTTGCTCCCTCAAATATGAAGCACGACTCATAATCTTTGTATTTCTTTTTATTTCAAATGCCAAGAGAGAGTGATGTTTATTATCTAAAGCAAAAATTCCTAATTCTAGCCTATTTAATACTTTTCCTGAAGAATGTGTACTGCTAACTAATCAAGTGAAAGTAGTAATAATATTACTTCTTTGTTGAGAACTGCACTGCATAAATTGATATTAAAAATAATGACTTGTTTTTAACTGAATGGAGATATCATCAGAATATTATCTCTGTCTCTCTCCACCAATGTGCAATAAATCTGAATATTTTTGTTTGGTCTCCGTAGACCTTAGGTTTGTTTACAATTCTGATGTTCTGTAGTATCATTGTTCATGATGGACAAAAACATATTAAATAAAAATGTTTGAAGGATTCAAGAATCATTAAATAATGTACAAGTGAGTTAAGAAAAAAATAATCTTTTATTTAACATGCTTTTGCCAAATATTTAATTAACCAGAGTCAAAAATGTATTCCACACAAAGATGTACAGTTTTAGTGAGTTAACAGGGAAACTATTGCATTCAATATTTTCACTGAGCTGCAAAGGCAATAAACTGAAAGGCTCTTTAGCTTGAGACATGTTCATGCTGATCTGATTGAAGTCAGCATATGAGATAAAAGAAAAATTGGTATGAAATTTTAATGATTCACAATCATCTGTGAATATTTGAATATTTTTCATTGAGTTAGTGAGTGTGTTAGGAAATATCTGTCCTTTGCCTCCAAACTTTTGAAGGGTTTTTTGAAGGGTTCTCATGTTGGGAGATATTTAAACAGATTTCAAGATGGCCTGCTTTAAATATCATGTCTTTCAGCAGTTTTAGTTTAGAAGTCACAGTGTTAAACAGGTACCTTTTAATACTTTGAGTTCTGATAACCCAACTTGGATATTTTCTCTAAACACGTAATAATTTTCATCAAGATATATGTAAAATGGGAATGTTTTAGGTCAGTAACTATGAAAATTTTTATAGACACAAGGTTTGCTTTTTAGTGCATCCAGGCATGACACTAAGTACTTAAAACTAAACCTGCAAAAATTGTTATCACATGAATAGTATTGCATATTCTTTCATGGTACAAGTGATTTTTTCATTGTCATTTATTTAAAAAACTTACTGGAAATTATTTCCACCTGAAATTTACTCCCATCTATCAAAAGGTGTTTCTTGTGAATTTTACTTCAGAATCCATGTTTTGAAGGAGCACACACATACTGTACATACCTTTTTGATCACCTCAGATATTTAATTATTTTTAAATTACAAACAGCCCCTGTGCTGTTGCTATTGAATACACTGTGTCTAGCAGGAAAAGGTTTCTGACAGATTTTACAACTACAGCTAAATTATAATGTTCACTGCTCTCTTTTCCATAGTTGAGTTTTAAAATATTTAAATCCCAAGTAGCTTGAGTTCTGTTTCTTTTTTTTGTGATGAACTACTGACTGTGAGTTAAACTGAGACAAAGGAATGCAATCAGACAAACAATGAACTTGTGGTTTACCCAACCTGTTATTAAGGGTTTCTTGATGTATTTTATGTCATTCTAAAGAACAACAATAGGTGAGCTTAATGTTTTATTGTGATGCTAATTATTCTTTTTTAACCAGATGGCAAAACTTAAACAATGAAAAAATAACTGTGAAGGGTTAAAACTGATGGAACTGTGTTTAATTTATTTGTTGGTTTAACCTCCTGTTGGAGTGATCCCTACACATAGTCTTCCTGCTGTTTACTTGTACATGGCTGTTAAAAGAAACAAGAGAACATTTACCTCTGTTGTTTTGAAAAGCACATCTTTGTCACTCAATCTTATGTATTCTCTCCTGACCTGGGGACATGAATTGGTTTAAAAAACAACTCAGGTAACTTGTTAACATCATAATGTGTAGGGTTTAATCTGTCAGAGACATTTTCTGTAGGGAATGTTCTGTGTATAACACTTTGGAACAAGGCTTTATACATCAACTTTGTCAATGCAGGATCTTAAGATACTAACAATGACATTGCTTTTACACCCATATACACTATTATGCAAGGTAGCTCTTTATAGAAGCTGCCAAAACCTTCCGCAAGAAGATTGATGAACTTCCTTACTCTCTTGAGCTATATTTTTGTTGACTGGATATAACTATGTTTCTCCTTACAAGTAGTGTCTAACTTTTGTGAATTCAAAGTTAAGTCAATGATTCTGACACACCTCACTGATAATTTAATTTGTAAGAAAGTGGAAAGGCTGTTGTCAATAATATAATATGACATGAGCCAAAAACATGGAAAAGCTTTGGGAATACTATTTATTATCTGTCTGATCACTGAAGTCCAATACCTGTTGAACAGGTTATGCACCTGAGTAATTGTATAAACTCTTCATGTTTTAAGCTTTTCTTTCCTTGATGTCATTAAAACTAGAGACTTGTCAACTCTAAACATGATGTTTCAAGGGAACATTATGTTTATGTTATATTACATTATGTTTAAAGGAAAAATATAGCTGCAGACTTTAAAATCTCTTAAACCACACAGTATCTGTTACCTTAACTGATGCTGTTTACTCAAAGTTTTTCAAAGTTCTAGGTAGGATTGTAGTGAATCACATAGAAAAATCACCTCTGACAGAATACAGCATTTATGATTTAATTTGAATTAAATTTGTGTAAGGCCTGAATTAGGTAATGAAAAACAGATAGAATATCTTCCATACAGATACCTCAATATTCTTATATACAATGAAAATGTTTTGTAATTTACCTGGAATTCTTTCAGCAAATGATACTTAACCAATGCTAGTTTTAAAGTAATTTATATTTATGCACAGGAAGTGAATTTAATCTCATACACTTAATTCCAGGTCTGTCACCCACTCAGCTGGAGGAACAAGCAATGGCATAAGGAATGCTGGATCAACTTTTAATAGACATAACAAAGTAGCTGCCTCAAATAGTATAATTGATGGAAGAAAACACAGTAAGGAAAAGGTTTTAGTAAATAAAGGTTCAGGTGTACTGAATGCAACTCCCAAAACAAAAGTCAGTGTTGTTGATGAAAACAGATCAGATGTGGGAGAATCCCAACCAACTTCAGGTGAAAGACTTGAGGCAAGTTTTGCATCTTTAAGGCGGAGTTCAGCCACTCCTGATTTGCTCAACAGCAGCAGTGTATTTGATCTGTCAGAGGTACCCCACATCTCGTCTAAACCAAGCAGTGCAGGCTCAGTATCATCCTCTCCTCGTCTCAAGAGACCTCCTACCAAGGAATCCCGCAGTGTCTCCATCTGTGAAACAGAGGTATATAATTATTATTTCACATATTATAATTCCTAAAATATTTTTTTCTTGCACATGGTTGGTGAAAAACTGTTCATTTTTTAGAACAGGCAGTCTCTGCGGACAAATATCTGTGCATATCATCATGCCAAATGGAGACACATATCTGTGTATATCTTCATGCCAAATGGAGACAGATATCTGTGCATATCTTCCTGTCAAATGGAGACAAATATTCTACCCATGCTGCACTTCAACTGCCCAAGTCCCCACTGCTCCTGTGCCACAGAAATATTTCATTTACAGCCAATTCATATCCACTCAAACGCTGGAAATTCCATTACTTTGATAATGGTGCTGTTACTGTAGTAATTGAGCAAGACTGTTCAGTGGATCCTAAATGCCCCCTTAATGTAATACTCTAATAGAGGTTTACTTGATGTTAACTTATTTCAAATCTTTTACCAGAACTTTCTTCAGCTCAATCAGTATAGACTTATGGATGAAATTGGGAAGGTGAGATAAAGTATCAGTCAATACTAGTCACTAAAAATTGTATTTTTCCATGAAAAACATTGTTCTTATTGGTGAAACTGTGAGTCAAAAAATTCTACACTTTTCTAAAAGATTCATTTTGAACTTATTGAATTACAGAGTTGAAATTAGGAATTTGTTTTAAGTTGATTGTTAAACCAGAGCTGTCTTCAAAGTTAATAATGGTTTTATATAATTAAATTCTGAAATTGTGTTTAGTTTTGCCAATTTATTCTAAACTTTGGAGTTAAATTCACTTTTTATCTTTCAATACACATGATAGTTCAAAACCAGTTATCAGTTTTAAGTACAACATCATCATACCTGTTTGTGCCCAATTTAAATGTCCCCATTCCTTTTCTATTTCAAGGGCTCATATGGAGTTGTTAGACTCTGTTACTCTGATTTTGATCAGACAAACTATGTAAGTATGACAAGATGTAGTAACTTGTTTTCAATTCCTTTTCTCACCTCTACACCTGATTATTAGATGCCAAAGGGCTTGCACTGGTTATGAAAATTTAAAGCTGTTGTCCAAATGGACCATCTACTCCCTTTTCAATGTGAGCCCTGTATAATTCCATTTCTATGAAGACTTCTCACTATTTGTAGAATACACATTGCAAACTCAAACAAGTCTAAGTCTACAATTTTGTTGACAGGCAATGAAGATCATTTCAAAGAAAAGGGTGATGAGAAAGGCTGGCTTACGTAAGTTTAGGATGACCTGATGACTTTTTATTAAACACTGTTACAGTCATATTCCACTACTTTTAACTTCCCAAGAACTAGCAAAGAACTTCAAGTAAAGTTGTTGTTTAGGAATAAAAAATTTAGAGCCATTTTCTTTTGGGTAACAAATACATGTAGTCCTTTTTGTCAGTGATGAGATTGTCATTATTAGTTTAAAATTTGTTTGTTACATTTATTTGTTTCTATTTGCATTTTGGTATTTTTGATGGAAAAATTTGTTTTGTTAACTTAATTACAACCTCTTGTTTTTGCTGTTTTCTCTCCTAGGACGTCCTAGTGATAAAGGAAAGAACACAGGATTGGAAAACTTGCAAAGAGAAATTGCAATTCTAAAAAAAGTTGATCATCCCAATGTTGTGAGCCTCAATGAGGTATAGTTATTTCATACAGTAACTGTAGATTCTCTTTTGATTAATGAGCCTCAGTAGTTGTTCTATTAAACCTTTAAGTATCCAAATATAATACACATATCTTTTAATTAAGAAATATCAATATACATCTTTAAACCACTCCTCACCTGAAAATAAGAGGAAAAATTGGGAATAGAAGTCAAAGAAACAGGAGTGTGAGTTAAGAGTGTCTTGGAGAAGACCTTGCAAAGCAGTAAGTCTACTGTGACAGCAGAGTACCGTTTTCTTTCTGCATGAAACCTCCCATTGTTACATAACAGTTGAAGACTCAATGAACTAAAAGACATCAGCATTTACCAAGTCTTGGTTTTACCTGCTTTAGGTTTTGGATGATCCTACTGAGGATAATCTCTATCTGGGTAGGTACCTTTAATTTTGAGTGTTTTTGTTTTCCCTTTTTTCTTAAAAAAAAAATTCTGGACATGGTATGTTTTTAGCACTACGCATAATATACTTTCTTTTTTTGTTTCACAGTGTTTGAGCTCATGGATGGAGGGTAAGTGAGGGTTACACCTCTGATATAATCTCTCCATAGGACTTAAGTGTACAAATTATGAACCTGCTTCTTTCTCACTCCAGTACCTTATCCTCAGTATCTGTTTTCTTGCAAAGTGATGTAATGATGTCTAAACCATGGAAACAATAGCATTCAAGAAATACCACACAAGGAATTAAAATCCCTGACCTTAAGACACCCATGTTGAGGTTTTTCTTTTTCTTGTCTTGAGCCTGAAAATATGTTCTTAAGTATTGTTATGATCACATTTGCAAGGCAAACTACATGGTAAAATTTGTGAAACACCAACAGAGCTTTGATATTTTGTTTATACTGCATAGTTAGCATCCCTAGAGGTAACTGGGTTTTTGCCCATCAGGTGTAGGCAATAGTGCACTAGTGTAATGTAGAAGTCTCACAAGACAAATCCCTTGGTTGTAAATTTTTGTGTGATAAAGAGTTTCTAATTGGCTGGTCTATAAAAAAATCTGTGACTTAACAAGTAAACTCACATTCTTTATTTTTCATTCTTATATTTTATCAAAACAGAGAGGTGATGGAGGTCCCTGGGCCAGCCTTGTCAGAACAAAATGCTAGGAAATATTTTGTTGATGTTGTGCTAGGAATTGAATACTGTAAGTTGTATCAGTGTTGATCATTTCTGAAATGACATCTTATTTATAATTACTGAAACAATTCTCACAAATATTCAGTATCAAGTTATCTTCTGTTTTGTTCATAGTACATTATCAAAAGATCGTCCATCGAGATGTAAAGCCATCAAATCTGTTATTGGGAGAAGATGGCCATATTAAGGTAAAACTTTTAGTAATGTGGTCAGTTTATCTGTGCTATGTTTGTGAAGTCACAAGGAACTTAGTTTACTGGCCAAATTACAGGCTAAATCACAAGCTTATTAACGACTGTGTGTGCTGTTAGCCACCTTCCAAATTATTCCTGTAGTCTGTACACCAACTTACTTTTGGTGGATCAATGAATCAGGTAAAAATTTTATGCTTTTCATACACAAGCAGAAATAGACTTCT